AAAATGAATGTTGAAAAATTCCTTTACATGTAATTGGAAAAAATAAAATACTATCAAAGTTAAAAAACAAAAAAATTAAATAAACTGAGAGACAATTATCTGAGCATGAGCAATTGATTAGTTAGGCTGGCAGCAACCAATAAATTGAGTCAATGGCCTCACTCTATGACCAAAGACCCTAAGGTAGGACTTGCTAGCTTTTGTGTTGTTTTGGGAACTATTGGAGAACAAAGAACAGAGCTGGATGGGTGGGGAAAACGATGAAATTCATGGGGGTCAAGACCACACGCACCCACATAGGGCTGGTCTCCACTATTCTCTGTCCTAGAGGAATACTTGATTGATTTATGGGACCCGTCTTCATCCTGAGGCTATTGATAGAGGACCAAGGATAGCATACTCCCTGAATGTAAGAAGGGAGATAGGATCCTCCTTAATTGTACAAGGACAGGCAAGGATGAAAAACGTATCTCTTAGAGCTAACTTCAGGACTTGAAGACAACACCAGATGTCTTTGTATTTTCAAAAGAGCTGAAGGTAGGATAGATAACAGTTTTTATATTAATCATAACTTTATATTTATAATTATATTATAATTAATTATAACTTTAAACTAACTCAGAGGGAAGCTAAACTGCTTTGACTAAAATATTCATTATTTGACTCCACCTGCAAGAGACAGTGGACCAGACTTCTTGGTATCCACCTTCATCCCTCAAGGATAATAGATTTACTTGAGTCAGAGACAAAGAACCTTGACTTAGCACAAAATTAATCAGCTGTAAGGAGACATAGCCTTGCTTCAGGACTTGAGACCCATCAGTGAGAATGGTAGTTGGGATAAGAACCTTTAGCATTTACATGAGCTGGGCTAAACTGTCCAAAAAAGGAAACAACATTGAATTTGTGGTCTGATCAGGGAAAAGATGGCTGCACTATCTGTTGAGGGCCGATCTTAAGAGTCTGATATGGGTTTAATATCTAGGACAGAGTTTGACCTTTGCCCAGGCTTTTACCCAAAGGGCTCTCCAATCTCTCCCTGTTAGGAGGTTCCTGAGACTTTCCTTCTCACTCTTTGAACCTTACATTTACATATTCACTCCTCTATACAGTTGCCAGGAAAAAGCCTTGGAATTTACAACTCTATCTAGGAACTCTGAGAAGGAGGAAATGTGTGTTATCACATTCTTAGCAGATGTTTGGGGTAGTGTCTCATGGGGAGAACTCTTTGAAGTTAGGATGGATTTTCTCTATATATCCTGTACCCTCAGAAAAATAAACTGAGTCAGTTTGGCTGCTTCACCTGGCCCACTTTATTTCACGCTTTTCCATTCAGTGTACTATCTGGTTGCAGGCAACAGCTATCTTTTTTTTTTTCATTCTGGTCATTATGCTTCTAAGATCCAGTTAGTTTTTACTCTGGATCTGCAACATGTTTCATTTCTATGGAAGCCAGAGGGGGCCCTAGCCCTCCTACAGGGGAAACTGAGTCAGTAGTACACAAAAGTAAGATTATTTGAGCTCAAATTTCAGACAGAAATTGAGAGGTTGGAAGGCAGGGTGAATTTTTTTCATGACTATTGCCCCTTTCGGAAGACAGCTGGTCTGCCCTCCATTTCATTTCTTTCTAGTACCTGGATACAGTTTCTACTGCTACCATTAAACTCCTGAATAGCTAAAACAGCTGGGATAAATCTTAGAGACCTGCAGTGGTTGAGGCAGAGACCCTGGCATGGAGATGAGACCAAGGCATTAGGCTGATAATATTGGCCAGAGAGCAGAGTGAGAGATGGAGATGGATCAGACCACTGGCAGTTGCTGTGAAATCTCACTTGCCATTGACTTTAGGTCAGGACACTCATCCCAATTCACTGGCATTTTCCCCCCTTATTTTCTCTGATTTTTTGTCATTTTGAAATGACTGGGATTTATGCCAGGCCACAATTGTTTCATTCTGCTTCTGGATTAGGCACCACAAGACTGAAAGTGAAAGTGGTACATAACTGGCTCCAGATTAGGGGTAATAATGAATGTCTTGAAGTGGTAGCATGATTCAAATCTACATTGCACATTTCCATTGGGCTGGAACCAATGACCGTATTTTGCGTAACTGTAACTTCAAATAGCACAAACTTGAATGCACTAGACCACTTCAGAGGAGGCATTATTTGCACTAATTGAGACCTAGGTGGAGTTGGATGATTCAGCTGCTTTGAAGGGCCAGACCAAAAGGGGTTAATTTTGTCATTCAAACATGAAGTCTTGACCTTCCCTCCCAGAGACAGGACACATTCAGGGGCCTGGATGGGTCACCAGGCTAGAGATGCATGTTGGAGAGACAGTACATGGCAGCAAGATGGTTGCAGTATCAATCATGCTGGAAATACCTAATGGAGGCCTAATGGAGACCAGTTGGAGAAGGTACAGACAGTCTGGCCCGAACTGAGCACAAATTCTAAGGGCAGAGCTTTGAATGTAGAACGCCTGTCCTTGAGAGAAGAAGGAGATGGCTGTTGCCCTTGAATTCTCAGATGAATTACTTAACCAGCCCCTTGGAGTTAGACTGCATGTTAAGAAGACTTTCACTGTTCAGTCGTTTCAGTCTTATCTGACTCTTTGTGACCTCGTTTGGAGTTTTCTTGGAAAATATACTGGAATGGTTTTTGCCATTTCCTTCTCCAGATCATTTAACAGATGATTGAAGCAAACAGGTTTAAGTGACTCACCCAGGATCACACAGCTAGTAAGCCAGATTTGAACTCAGGAAGATGTAACTTCCTGACTTCAGGCCTGACACTCTATCCACTTCATCACCTAGCTGCCCTGTAAAGGACACTAGTCTTTCCCTTTTCCTGCTTGACTATTAATGTGGAGCTAAGGAATGTGTGCTCCTAAAAGGTCACTCAGGTTCCAAGTGTATTCTTAGCTAAGGACTGTGGAGTATAAAGGGAGAGGTTCTTCAAATCTTTACCAGGGTCATGCAGTGGCTTAAGGTTGAATACTATATCTTTGTGATTCCAATTTCATGCATTAAGTGTATTTTAACCTATAAAGTGAATGTTTTCCTTTCTAGTCCCAATAAGTTGTGAAGGAAATGAAAATCACAATGAGAAATGGGGATAAACTATTCTTGGAGGTTTTCTTTGAGCCTAAACTCTGGGTATGGGGCAAATGAGCCAATTTAGATTAAACAAATGAAATATGGCACACGAATTATTATATATTTTAAAACCAAGATATGAAAAGAACCTAAGCCAAGATTGGTGGCAGGTGCTTCAGCATACAGGAAAACTTCCTGGACTCCCAGCATCTATAGTAAAAACTCCTTACTTGTGGAAGGCTTATTCACTAGCCTCTACATTAGAAGGAAGCCCACATGGCCGTGTGTTGTTTCTCTTCAGTGAATTTTTGTACCTCTTTTTCCATTTGGCCAATTCTGCTTTTCAAGACATTCTTCTCTCCATTGGAATTTTGTGCCTCTTTTACCAATGTGACCATTCTGATTTTTAAGATGTTGTTCAGTATTTTTTGTGCCTCCTTTATCAACCTGTTCACTTTTTTCATTATTTTCTTGCATCACTCTCATTTCTCCTCCCAATTTTTCCTCTACCTTTCTTACTTGATTTTTAAAATCTTTTTTGAGCTCTTTCATGGCTTGGGGCCAATTCATATTTTTCTTTAAAGCTTTGGATATAGGAGTCCTTGACAAATTCAACACAGGAAACTTATTGGCCTATGATCAGGAAAGAATAAACATAAAAGATGCAGAGGTGGCCATGTAATCCCTGTGATCATAGAGGCTGGGTGGGAAATAGGCAATCGCTTCTTTTTTTAATAATTTATTTATTTTTAGTTTTCAACATTCACTTCCATAAGATTTTGAGTTTTTAATTTTCTCTCCTTTCCTCTCCTCTCCCCTCCCCAAGATAGCATGCAATCTGATACAGGCTCTACTTATACATTCATATTAAGCATATTTTCACATTACTCATGATGTAAAGAAGAATTAGAACTAATGGGAAGAACCATGAGAAAGAAGAAACAAAAACAACAAAGAAAAGGAGAGCAGATAGTATGCTTCCATCTGCATTCAGACTCTATAGTTCTTTCTCTGGATGTGGATAGCATTTTCCATCATGAGGTCTTTGGAGTTGTCTTAGATCCTTGCATTGCTGTGAAGAGCCAAGTCTATCAGAGTCAGTCATAGCACAATGTGGCTATTCTTGTGTACAATGTTCTCATGGTTCTGCTTACTTCACTCAGCATCAGTTCATATAAATCTTTCCAGGTTTTTCTGAAGGCTACCTGCTCATCATTTCTTATAGCACAATAGTATTCCATTATTTTCATATACCACAACTTGTTTAGTCATTCCCCAATTAATGGGCATCACATCAATTTCCAATTCTTTGCCACCACAAAAAGAGCTGCTGTAAGTACTTTTGTACATGTGGGTCCTTTTCGTGTTTTTATGATCTCTTTGGGATACAGAACTAGAAGTGGTATTGCTGGGTCAAAGGGTATGCACAATTTTATAGCCCTTTGGGCAAAGTTCCAAATTGCTCCACAGAATAGTTGAATCAGTTCACAACTTCACCAACAATACATTAGTGCTCCAATTTTCCTACATCTTCACCAACATTTATCATCTTCCTATTTTATCATGTTAACCAATCTGATAGGTTGATATGTTATCTCAGGGGCGTTTTGATTTGCATTTCTCTAATCAATAGTGATTTAGAGCATTTTTTCATATGACTATAGATAGCTTTAATTTCTTCCTCTGAAAAATACCTGTTCATATTCTTTGACCATTTATCAATTGGGGAATATAGGTAATCACCTCTTTCCCAATCTGACTCTCTCAATACAAAATGAAACAGTCTTCATGTTTCAAAACTAGAATGGAAGAGATAGTCAAGGACATCATTAGCTTTCTTTTGTTCTTTTGATGAGTGATGAGTTCTTCCAACTCAGCAGTCAGAGGACTCATCCTTATTTACCATTGCAAGCCCCTCAGTGATGAGTCATCCATAGCTTGATGTAGCACTACTCCCAAAACCTCCATGTGGTCTCCTAGAAACAAGAATAATTACTGAGCATGCTACATAGTGAGAGGTGGGGAACACAAAGGACCCCTGTGGCCTGGCTATTGGCTAATGTTGTAGAAATGACTTAAATAAATAGGAAGCACAAACATAAATGAAAGTTACCTGGAGCGGGCAGGAAGGTGTGTTCATTAGGAACAGAGAACATGACAAATGTGCAGAGCAAAGGCAACCTGCAGGAAAGTGAATCTTTTGGGTCTCACACACTCCTTTATATACTTGTTCTCTATATTACAGTCAAATTGGACTACCACCAGCTCTCTGAACCTTACATTGCCTCTCCCGTTGCCACAACTTTACTCAATCTATCCCTTTTGATTGGAATGTACCCTTTTCTCTTCTCTGCCTCTCAGAATTCTTATCTTTCTTTAAGGCTCAGCTCCAGGATCAACATTCTGCAATACTTCTCTGATCCCCTCCAGTCATTAGTGCTCTCCCTCTCAAATGGCCTTTTATTTCTGTGATGGCAGAGAGGGTCAAGGTATTCTGCCTTTCTTGACATTAAGTGAAGCCATATTAGAATATGCCTCCATTTTAATATAAATAGGTAGTTGCATCTGACCCCTGGTTTTTTGTTTTTTTGTTTTTACCCCAGATCTTTGGCAAGGCCAACCAAATAATCGAGTCTGACCTATGTTGGGCACCTGAGGTTGACAATAGACCAGCATATTAGGAAATCTGTCTCTCCCTTGAAAGACAATAAATTGTCCCCAAGGCCAGTGGCTGACTATACTTCAGGAAGATCGCTTTGCCAGCTGAGTGGAAGATGGACTGCAATGGAGGGAAAGCGTTGTAGCAAGGAGACCAAGCAGCAGGCTATTCCAATAGTCCTGGTATGAGACAATTAGAGCCTGCTCCAGGGCAGTAGCATTGTCAGAAGAGAGAAAAGGTTATATAGGACAGATATTATGAATGTAAAATAGACAAGTTTTGGCAATAAATCAGATATGCTGGTGGTTAGAGGGATGAGAGAGAGAGAAAAAGGAGATGAAGAGTACACTTAGTTTGTAAGGCTGTATGACTGGGAAGATGGTGGTGGCTTCCACAATATTAGGGAAGTTAGGAAGAGGAAAGAACTTTGGGGCAAACATAATGAGTTAAAATTTGGACATGTGGAGATCAAGATGTCTACAGGACATACACGTTTCAGATGTCCAATAGACTATTGGAGATGAGGGACTAGGGGTGAGCAGGTTAGGGCTGGATCAGTAGATTTGAGAATCATTAGTACAGAGATGATACTTGAATGCATAGGAGCTGATAAGATCATCAAATGAAATAGTAAAGAGTAAGAAGAAAAGGTCAAGGGTTCTGTGAGATAACCCACTGTCATTAGGCATGGCTTGAATGAAGTTCCAACAATGGGAACTGAGAAGGATAATTTTGATGGGTAAGAGAACCAAGAAAGAGTAGTGTCCTGAAAATGTAGAAAGAATAGCATATCAAGGAGAAGAGGGTGAGTGAGAGGCTCAAAAGATGGAGAAAGTTTAAGACAGATGAGGATTGAAAAAAAGTCATTAGATTTGTCAATTTAAAGATTAGTAACTTTAGAATAAGTAATTTCAGTTGAATCATAAAATCAGAAGCAAAACTGTTGTGGTAATAAGAGAATTTAAGGAAAAGATGTAGAGGCATCTCTTGTAGGTGACATTCTCAAGGATTTTAGTGACAAAAGGAAGGAAAGATATGGAACAATTACTAATAGGGATAGACAGATCAAGTGACAGTTTTTCAAGGAAAGGGGAGACATGAGCATAATTGTAGGTTGTAGAGAAGCAGCCAATAGACAGGAAAGACTGAAGATAAGTGAGAGAATAGCAATTAGAGGGGTAATACACTGGATGAGACAGGGGGGAATGGGACCACTTGTGCATGAACAGGAGTTGGCTTTGGCAAGGAGAAGCCACTTTACTGTATGAGATAGAAGTTATGGAAGAGATAGCAGCAAAAGGCATGTGAGTGAGTTGATAAGGAGGGGAGGAGAATGGGAAGAAAAGAGGGAGAGTAGTCTCTCTTGGACTTCCCTATTCTGTCCTCCTCCCAACTCAGTCTGAGTCAGGTCCACTGCTTTCCTCAGCCTGTCTCATATTCCCAAGCCTCCCACCAAGCTCATTGTTATGAGTGTCCCCTTTCTTTTCATCCTCTTCTACTCCTACACCACCCTCAACTCAGAATCAGTGTCCCTTGGTTGTCCCTCACTAGCTGGCTTTGAAGATAACCCTGCCTGTCATTAAATCAAATGCAGACACTGACTGAAATTACCTTATTGTCACCTCTGGAGATTGCTTGGGTGCTGTGTTTGAGTTTTTGTTTACAGTAGCATATTGTTTGAAGTATAACAGGAATTATCTTTATGATCATCAGCATAATGATTGCTATTGCAAATTTCCATTCTTTCCAAAGTGATGTTTCATCATAAAAAAACCCTGCATATGAGAAAGGACTTATGAGCTGATGTTTAGAGAAAACAAGATATCCCTTCCCAGCTCTCCTAGGGAAGGAGGACTGGGATTATCTGTTTCTGGTCTCTTGGCAGCCCTGGGCCCTCAGCCCTTCTTCACAAATGTGTCTTATGCACCACACTCTATTTTAATCCATACTCAGAAGGGTCCCAGGCCTCTATACTTTAGGTAAGGACATAGAAAAGGGCAGGGGAGCACTCTAGCACTCAAGGTTATGTACAAACTAGCCATACTTAGAGGGTCAAGACTGTGTGAAGACCAGGAGACTTGGATCAGATTTTTAAAAGAATGAGGGAAAATTCAGAGTCTGGGCTGCAAAGAAAATGGGCCACATTCAGAATTCAGAGCACACTAAGAAGGTTGGCTACATATGGATTGGGGGACACAAAGGAGTCAGAGCAGTGCTGGTATTGAGGCCCAATAAGGGGTCAGGGCAGTACATAGACTGAGGAGTACATAGGTGAGAAATACTTAAGTTTGGGGGCTGAGGGGCAAATATAGATCGGGCTATACTAAGCAAAGAGGGGTAAGATTGCACAGAGACTGAGAGATACTCAGATTCTGGGCTGCTTAGGGACTGCACAATTGAGCTTTATTATCATCCCATGCTTTCATAACATTGCTGCCGACCCTTCCCTCTTACCTCTGCATCTGTGCCGTGTCCACAAGTAAAAAATACACATTTCTATTTCAAATGCGCAAGTCAGAACCAGGACCCCACTAATCTCACCCATCCAGGGTTTGGACCTGTGAAAATATACTGACAGAAGCCCCCAACCCAGAGAGGATGACTGTGGTCTTGTTTTCTCTGCTGTCCCCTCTCCATAGCAAGCTTCAATTACAACTTGGCTGCTCACATGGATAGAGCATGCTTAGCAGCTGCACCACACTTAAGACAATAGATGAAACATGTCCCTGTGGCACCCAAAACTAAATTTCATATAATGAGAATGGTCAGTTCACCTTTACATTGTGCACTCTGGAATTCCTGTTCCTTAAAAACAAACATTCCTTCATTTTAAATCTCTTTCTTGCTTCCCGCTCCTTGCATAATTCACAAAATTGTTTTCATTTTAGACTTTTCTCTCTTATTCCTTCCATCTTCTGGCACTCAGTGATACTTGGCTGGCCCTCAGGGACACTTCATCCTTTGGATGTCCTTTCCAATATTTGTTATACCATTCCTCATGTCCTTGCGAGAGACTCAGAAAGCTATTCACTTCCTTTACTACTTCCAGACTCCAGCTATCACTGTTGCTATCACGCAATAATCCTTTCTTCCTTTGAGGCTCACTCTTATCTAAATATGCAACCCAATTAGTTGACAGTGTCCTATTGGCCTCCAGATCATTCTTCCTTTCTCAATGAGAAAGTACTTGGATCACAATATTTCTTTCCATTGTAACTCTTGTCATACAAGGATGTGCCTACATCTGTGTTGATATTCCTTCAAACATATTAGCTTCTCAGTTTCTTAAACTCCTAAGGTCCCATGACTTAGTCCTCCACTGCAACTCAGCCAATAAAAGTCACATAGTCACACCCTTGCCTTTCTCATCACCCACAAATTTCTACTCATACTATCTTCCCTTGTGCCTCATTCCTTCTAAATCTAATCTAAATCTAATCTTTTTCTTCACCATGACCTCCCATATTTTCATTTCTTAATACTTCTTATAGACCATCACCTCTGACATGACTTTGCTTAAATGTTAAATTGTCTTACCCTCAAAATACAACTCTCTTTCAAACTGCCCTAATTCTCTCAAGAATATTGCCATTCTTCAAGTCACACAGATTCAAGACTGTAATGTAATCCACAGTCCCTTACTCTCCCTCACTACATATATATAATCAGTTGCCAAATCTTATTAATTTTATTTCCAACATATCTCTTACATTACTAGTCTCTTTCTCTGCTTACATGGTCACCTAATATAGGCCTTGGTCAATTCTTTCTTGGATTATTACAATGACCTCTCAGTTTGTCTCCTTGCTTCAAAGCTCTCCTCTCTCTAATCTACTCAGCTGCCAAAGTGATTTTGCTAAAGCACAGGTCTAACTATGTCTCTTTTCTGCACAACAAACTCTAATGACTTCCTGTTCTCTCTAGGGTTAAATATAAACTCCTTTGTTTGGCATTAAACCCCTTTACAACCTGGCCTCACGTTTGGAGCCATATTGCACATGACTTTTCTTCAAACACTCTCAGGCCTACTAGAGTCACCTTCCTGCTGTTCTACCCAGTCCATTTTTGAACTCTATGCCTTTGTACAGTCGGTCACCTTTGCCTACAAAGCTCTTCCTCCTAACCTTTACTTTTAGAATTCCTAGTTAGTTTTTTTTTTCAAATATTAGCTCAACTGCCACTTTCCACATGCCATCTTTCCAGAAGACATTTAACAGATGCTGGTATGTCCCCTCCCTAATTATCTTGTATTTACTTGTTAGGTTTATGCACTTTATCTCCCCTGATAGAATGTAAGCTCCTTGAGGGCAAGGATCTTCCCCCATTTGTCTTTGTATCCCCAGTACATAGCACAGTGTCTAGCAGATGGCGGATACTTAATAAATACTTTGTATTTCTTGATTAATTTATTCAAGTATGTTAAATTTTAGTGAAACTGTACTAATCTCTGTATTTCCTCCTTATACTGTCCTCTCCCCTTTCCTTGCTTCACTTCCAAGGCAAGAATTATCTCTAACCCACCCCCACTACTAAATAAGTCCATTCTTTCTTCAAGACCTATCTCAGGGACCATCTTCTCATTAAAACCTTTCTTGACCCCTTCCAATTTATTTCTCTCTTTTCAGATTTCTCACAATATCTCACCCATATCTCCACTTTGTTTTGTCTCAGTTTTGTATCCACGACTCACTGTCACAGAGATTGTCAACTCTATGAGGGCAAGTACAAGTTGCTGAATTACCAAGGTCAAGTACCAAGTTATGAAAATGTCGACTTCTTTTTTCAGTCCATACTACAAAGCAAAGCGTAAGTCAGCCCTTAAAAATGCTGGTCAATTTAAATTATGTTCAGTTAATTTAAAAGTCAAAGATGATCTTTATTCAGACCTTTACTTTGCCTACCTTACCCAGGGGCAGGGATTGGGACTCAGAGGAAGAAAACAGTTTTTGGTAATTCCATAGAGCCTAGTACATGCTTTTCATACAATAAATTGACCAACATATGATGAATGAATGGTTGGGGAAAGAAGGCCATGGATAGACAGGTCTAGTTCTTCTCAGAGGCTCCCAGAAAATATATACAGTAGGGGATGGGATGAGGGGAGAATACATGTGATCACATAACTACAAATGTAGTTGGGAGGAGCAGGGTTCTATGGGTGGACATTGAAGAACATGAAACATAGAGTGTCCTAGGGAGACAAGGTATAACCTCTAGCAAGTGAACAGGGAGTAGGTAAAAGTCAGGATCCCAAGACTCTGGGTTCCAAAATCCTTGCCCTCTCCCTGACCAAATATGCCTAATGATCCAGATAGGAAGCCATTGCTCCAATTTCCCCTCATAATTACCTTGGATTCGCAGCATCCATAATAAAAATGTTAAATATAACACCACACAAAATATAAAGATGAATACAAAGTAAATTGGTGGTAAAATCTGTGACACAGTTTCTTCACCTAAAACACAATTGTACATAAGTCTCAGTATCAGAATAGTAATGCACCAATCCTTGTACCATCTTCCCTCCATACCTCCCACTCTCACACTCCACCTCAAGCAGAGGGCAAGGCCATCTCTATGGCCAAATTCTGGGCCCCTCTGGCCCCTGCTGCTCATTACCCTAACTTTTCACCCCACAGCAGACATACCCCCCCCCTTCCACCAATAACATTACCATGCTTATATCCCCCTTTATGAATCCTCTGCTCAGGCTACATCACCTGGTTTTAGCCCCACCTATTTGAGAATTTATATCATTCGGCTGCACTGATTATACCAGTGAGTATAAGTAGTACTGGGGGCCAGTTCTGTGTACTTTTGAATGGGTGTTATACTCACAGGATCTCAGAGATGGAAGGGAACTCAGAAGTCCATCTCGTTCAACACACACTTGAATCAGACTCCTCCTTGAGACTCTCCCTACAAGTGGCCATCCAGCCTTTGCTTAAAGTCTCCCAGATAGGGGTAGCCTATAGAAGTACATTTTACTTTGGTATTACTTTAATTGTTAGGCAGTTTTCCAATACATCAAGCCTAAACTTGCTCTTCTGAACTTGGTGTTCAAAGAGGACAAGCTTCTGTGAAACTAAGATTTTGTGGGCCTCCGAATGGCAAAAGGGACCTTGAGTTGTCTTTCACCCAGAGCCAGCTTGAAACTGAGAAGACTTGACCATGCTGTTACTTCTGTCTCTAGTATAGGCATTTTCCCTGTTTTCAGGTAAAGAATCTTTGAGATGGCTATGACCTTGTAAGCTTCAAAAGACACCATCAGAGCATCTGGGGGCTGGAGTCCTTGAAAGGATTTGCTGGTAGCCAGACAGTGAAAGGCAAAGTCCCAAGGAACCCAAAGGATTCAGTCCAGTAGAAACATGGGGGCAGACTCACCCATTCATAGGCTAAGCCACATTTGGATCAATGGTATGTAGAAACTTCCACTGGTTTTAGCCGACTGTCCCTAAAATCCCCAGGGACTGAGGTGGTATAGGGGAGAGTGGGCCTCAAAAAGGAAATATTTGTAATTCTGTTCATGCAATATCTTAGTATATATTACTTTATAAAAGCTAATTAACATTAATTGATTAAATAGAACTGGAGTGATAATCACTGGCAGTTAACAATGGGAGAAACACACTAGGATGGTGGCTCTGATAGCATTAAAGAAAGGTAACCTCATTGTTCCTCCTAGTCTCCTGAGAGGGGATGTAGCCAGCCTCACTCACTGTGGAATACTAAGAGGAGAAAATTGCTACATGTTTATCATAAGATCATGGCTTTAAACCTAAAAGAGACAAAAACAACTGTCAAGCCCTCTCTTATTACAGATGAGGAAACTGAGGCACAGAAAAGTCAAATGATTTGTCCAGGTTTACATAGACAATAAAAATGGAAAATGGGGTTAGACTTGTTCCACTTGTGCCTCTGGTCCAGAATTAGTAACAATGGGTGAAAGCTTCAGAGAGGATGATTTAAGCTTGATGTCAGCAAAAAATTCTTAATGACTAAATTTATCCAGATGTGGAAAGGGCCACCTCCCCCAAGGAGGCAAAAAGACTTCTCATTAGAAGTATTTAAGCAAAGGCTGGAAGCTCTATCAAATTGAACAAGAATTCATTAAGCATCTTCCATGTACTGGGCACCAGGATAGGGGCAAAGGATACAGGGCAAAGGAAAATAGATACCTCCAGGGAACGTAAACAGAGATTTCTTCTTCAGAGAGGTATTGGAGTACATGACCTTTGAGTTCCCTTCCACCTAGGATATCGTATGATTCTGTAATAACAGAGCTGAGAAAACATCTCTCTTCTCGCCATACACGTGCACAAACATATCAAGTCTAGGCCCCAGCTCCTCACCTGAGACCGTTAGCTCCATCTCAGCTTCTTCTTGGTGAAAACCATCCTCAAAGAGACACTTGTACTTTCCCGCATCTAAGAGTCTCATGTCCTGTATCTTCAGGGTAACATTCCCATTTGTGATAGCATCTCTCACCAGTTCTGTCCTCGCGTGGTAAGTAGGGGCCTGGTCTCCAAACAGATCCTCCCCATCTCGATAGTGGTGTACTACCCGAGTGGATTGGAACCAGATCACCTCCATGTGCTGAGCACTCTGAGGTGGGGACAGGTAGCATGGTAACTCTGCCTCTCCCCCAACTGAGGCCTGGATGGGTCTTGCAGGTCCAATCACTGAGAACTGTCCTATTCAATCAGGCAGGAAGAAGAGACAGCGGGTCAGAGAAAAGAACAGTAGGAGATGGAAATGATATGCAAGGTTTATGTAAGAAGGGGGTGAAGGACAGAACACTAAAATGGGATGGGGGGAAAGGAAAGTAGAAAGTAAGGGATGATGGAGAAAATGTTAGGGAAGCAATTAAAAGAGGAGACAGTGTATCAGGACAATGAGAAGACCATAGGAAAGAGAAAAGGGGAAAATTGAGAAAATCTCCAGAAGAGACTAGGAGAGTATTGGGGAATTGTTTGGGAGAGTACTAGGGTGGGATAAAATATATTTTAAATCTTTAGTATTTAGAACCACATTACTAGCCCCTGAGAGTCAAAGAGAAGTAAATACTCTTACCTGAGGCCAATGTTGGCTTCTGGAGAAGGAGGATAAAGGCAATCACAAAACTGGAGAGAAAGGAGCCTGAGAGATTAAGAATATCCATCACACCTAGAAGAGGACACAGGAAGAGGGCAGGTTTTATTGATTGATGTGAACTTGGGCATGTGATGGTAAGTGACTATGACAGAGAGAGTGGGGACAATGTGGCAAGGAAACAGGAAGTAATGACTAATGATCAGTACCTCTGACAGGGACACAGAAAGACTATGATCAGTAACACTGGAGATCATTGGCTGTGACTGGGACACAGGGCATCAGCAGCCATAAAAAGGACATAGGGAATCATCAGTGTAATGATTGTCAGTGACCTCTATCAATCCCATTCAAGGCTACCCAAAAAATCCTGTATCAGCCTTAGACCCAGAACCAAATCTGTACCCTCCTTCTCCCCAGAGCCTTCCCCAGTGCTCCAGAGGATTTTCTCAGATCACATCAACCTCCCACTCCCCCAGGTCACACCTTCTCCTGCTCTTGCCTGCTCTGAGGTAACCCTCCTGAGCCTTACAGGACTGAAAGTCTCCACTTGTTATAAGGTTTGACTTAAAGGAATGATCTTCAACGGAATCATCTATCTCCTCAGCGGACCTCTATCCAGATGATGATGCTTGGTTTGGACTCATTTTTCAGTGATTAGCATAGTCCCACCCTGGGTCTCCCTCTCCAGTCTAGTGATTCTGAAACCCTGTCAACATACAAACTCTGTTCTCCTTCCCTTACTGCTGACTTCCTTATTCCTATTGTCTTCAACACTAACTCCTAAAAGTCCTACTCTAGATCTACCAATTGTTTCCACTGTGCTCTCTGGAATGCTTATTCCATAGTTAACAAACTTGTTTTCATTTAAACGTTTTCCTTTCCTTCCCTACATCTTCTGGCTCTCACTAAGACTCAAATCTCTTCTCATTATACCATTTCCCTAGCTACCTTTTTTGTTACTGGTGGTAAGGTCTCCCATACTATACTCCGCACACTGATGAAAATGTTGGAAATTCTAATGCAAGAAGAAAGGTCATGGGAATCAATATGTATCATATCTAGACATGCATACAATTCCACAGGGAATGATAATATAGGCTTTACACTATCCTTGTTCATGTTTGGGCGATAACCACACCTACCTATTGACTTGTGTTTAATATATAATGAAGTTATCATGTAAATTTCTTTTTTTCTTCCTTCCTTCCCACCCTAGAGATGGCTACCATGAGATACAAATGTGTGTGTGTGTGTGTGTGTATACACATATATATAGATATAGATATATGAAAAATTTTCTATGAATACTTCTGTTTATCAGTTCTTTCTTTGGATACAGAGAGTCTTCATATGTCATTTGTAGTTAATTTAGCATTTATAATAGACAACTTATTTGCTAAAAGTCATTCTTAAAAGAATATTGCTATTACTGTATACAATGTTCTCTTGTTTCTGCTCATTTTGCTCTTCATTATTTCATGTCTTTCCATGCTTTTCTAAAAACCATTGAGCTCATCATTTCTTATAGCACAGTAGTATTCCATCACAATCATGTACCACAACTCATTCAGCCATTCCCTAGTTTATTTTCCATTCACCTTCAAAGTTATAACTGCTATTTAAGAAGTTCCCTCTAACTTATTTTTCCTCATTATTTTCCTTCTCAGCCTGTTCACCTGTGTTCACCCTATGCCCATTACCTCATCTTCTCTCTTAACCCTCTTATTCCTTATTCTACCCTCCCCTCTAAAAGTCTCTCCCTTATCTATATAAGGAAATCATTAAAGACTAATTATAAGGCACTGATTAAGGTTTAACTCTTTACTTGTGATATGTGAAAATGTTATTAATATTAGTGAATATTACTTATTATTAGTCATAATAGTATCCTTAAAACTATTATTGTTACTAAGGTAATTTGAAAGAAAGGTTGGGGCTAAGTTGTATACAATGAAGTGATTCTAAAAAACAAAATTGGGCAGGAAAAGGTTAAAAAGAGAAATTAGCTTATAAAATAGGGCATGAAAGGAAGCACTAATACAGAGAAAGTAGGTGGGGATGGAGGGCTGGTAATATTGGAAACTTGCTCTCATCTGGATTGAAGACAAAACAATGTAGATGTCTGAAGAGTTTTAGAAGTCTTCTGAACTTCTAGAGAGGTAAGAAAATTGAGGCATTGGTTGGGGGAGGGACTTTTAGAAGGGTATATTGATCAAAGTTGTTCTTAAAACAATATTGCTGTTACTGTATACAGCATTCTCTTGGTTCTGCTCTTTTCATTCTTCATTATTTTTGTCCTAGTCTATACATGTTTTTTGAAGATTATTGAATTCCTCATTTCTTATAGTACAGTAATATTCCATCAAAATTATATACCAGAACTTGTTTAGTCATTCCCCAGTTGATAGGTGCCCCCTCAATTTCTGGTTCTTTGCCATCACAAAGAGAGCTGCTATAAATATTTAAGAACATAGAGGTTCTTTTTCTTTTTCCCTAATTATCTTTGAAAATAGACCTAGTGGTGGTATTTCTGAGTCAAAGGGTATAAGTAGTTGAATAACTCTTTGGGTATAATTCCAGATTGCTCTCCAAAATGGTTGGATTATTTCAGTTACACCATCAATGAATTAATATCCCAATTTTTCCACATAACCTACAACATTTGTCTTTCTCCTTTAATCAATTTAGTCAGTTTGATAAGTGTAAAATGACATCTTAAGGTTGTTGTGATTTGCATTTCTCTAATCAATAATGATTTAGAGCATTTGGGGGGGGCTAGGCAATGGGGTTAAGTGACTTGCCTAGGGTCACACAGCTAGCAAAGCATCAAGTGTCTGAGGCTGGATTTGAACTCAGGTCCTCCTGACTCCAGGGCCAATTCTCTATCCACTATGCCACCTAGTTGTCTCTAGCACTTTTTCACATGACTATGAACTGTTTTTATTTCTTCATTGGAAAACTGCTTATTCATATCCTTTGACTATTTATCAATTGGGGAATGACTCATATTCTTACAGAACTGACAAAGTTCTTTATATATTTGTGATATGAAATCTTTATCTGAGAAGCTATTTATAAAAATTTTCCCCCAGTTTTCTGGTTTCCTTCTAATCTTGGCTAAATTTGTTTTATTTGTACAAAATCTTTTTAAATTAATGTAATCAAAAATATCCATTTTATACTTTGCTTTCTATATCTTGTTTATTTATAAAGTGTTCACCTATCCATAAATCTGATAGGTAACATGTTCCATATTCTTCTAATTTTTTGTAATACATCTCTTTATATTTAGATCATATATCCATTTTTACCTTATCTTGGTAAATAGTGTAAGATATTGGTCTGTGCCCAATTTCTGCCATACTGCTTTCTAGCTTTCCCAATCATTTTTACCAAATAATGAATTCTTATCCCCAAATCTTAAGTCTTTACACTTCTCAAATACAAGGTTACTATATTTATTTATGGCTGTAAATTGTCTGTCTATTCTATTCCATTGAACTACCTTTCTATTTTTTGGCCTGTATCAGATAGTTTGGATAATTACTACCTTATAATATAAGATATGGTACTCTAAACCTCCTTCCTTTGCATTTTTTTCACTAGTTCATTTGACATTCTTGACTTTTTATTCTTCCAAATGAATTTTGTTATTATTTTTCTAATTCAGTATAATGATTTTTAAAAACAGTCTAGAAATTTTTTTAAATGATTAAATAAATTATTTGGAATAATAGTCAAAGAAGGAGTCCTACCAAACTCCTTTTATGAAACAAATATGATACTGATACCTAAACAAGGAAGAGTAAAAACAAAGAAAATTATAGACCAATTTCACTAATAAATATAGATACAAAAACACTAAATAAAATACTAGCTAAAAGACTACAACAATGTATTACAAAGATTATACACTATGAACAAGTACAATTTATACCAGGAATGCTGGGATGGTTTAACATGAAGAAAACTATTAACATAATTTATTTTATCAATAATAAAAGTTTAAAAAATAATATCATTATGTCAATACAGTTAGAAAAAGCTCTTGACAAAGTTCAACACTCAAGTCTATTAAAACACTTGAAAAGACATACGTATAAATTGATTTTTCCTTGAATTAATAAAAAGTATTTTAAACTACCAGCAAGCATTTTTTTTTTTGTAATGGGAAGTAATTAGAAGCCTTACCAATAAGATCTGGTATGAAACAAGGATGCCTACTAGCATGAATATGACTCAATATTGGCTTGGAAATCCTAACAATAACATAAGAGAAGAAAAAAATAGAAGGAATCATAATAGGGAATGAGGTAATAAAACTATCTCTTTTTGTACATGATATGATTATATACTTAGAAGATCCCAAAGACTCAACTAAAATGTTATTTGGAACAATTTATAATTTTAGCAAAGTAGCAAGATATAAAGCAAATCCCCATAAATCATCAATTCTCCTATATATCACAAACAAAACCCTGCAAAAAGAGCTAGTAATAGATACCCCATTTAAAATAAATCTAGATAGTATAAAATACCTGGGAGTACACCTGCCAAAACAAACCCAGAAACTATATAAACAAAATTATAAAAAATAGTTTTGTATGAATAAAATCAGACTTATGTAATTGGGGAAATAATAATTGTTTATGGGTAGACAGGGCCAATAAAATAAAAATTACAATTTTACCTAAACTACTGTGTATTTTTATTCACATTTAATAAGCATTTATTTAATGCTTATTACTTGTCAGACACTGTGCTAAGCACTGGCATTACCAATACAAACAGAAAGAGCTCCATTCCCCAAGGAGCTTTCATCCTATTTGTTACTCCCCATTCTGTATGAAGTCCCATGTGGAAGTATTTGCAAGGTGCTATACTGGTCTGAGGATAGGAAGACTGAACTTCGCCGGTGTCTGAATCTCTGGGCTCTTTACCAACCCAGTCATTCTCTGAATGCTTTTTCGCTTGGCCACGGCCTTCCTGAAATGTATCACCCAGATCCAATGATGATGCTCTAAGACATTGTCTGAGCCAGGCAGCTCACAATGACTCAATCCCTTTCTATCCTCTGGGCACAATGCTGCTCAATGCAGCCTGATTCCATCCCATCCACTCTATCTTGTGCCCTCTATCCCATGCAATCCTTTCTGACTATTTTATACCCTCAATTTTGTAATGTTTATGGCACTTCCTCTAGCCTGTCCCATCCACACCCCACATCTACTCTACCCAGTACCTTCACTCTTCCTCACTCAACCCACCCTGATTGTGCCAGCATACAATGAACTGCTCCACCTCTGCCCCCTTAGGCCTTATCCAGCACAAGAGAACCAGGGTGACTAGAACAGCTGCTCAGGCCCAAGAGCTATGCAAGCCATGATTTCTATCTGAGCTCTGGCATTATGCTGACTGGAAGGATTCCCTGCCCCCATCCCCAGGGTTTAGGGACCCAGAAAGAGAAAGAGACAATGTGAGCTGAGGATGAAGAAGGAAGAATGAGGCTAAGGATGGAAGCCAGACTTACCGCCTCACCTATGCTGAGCTGAGCTGAGCTGAGGGACAATGTTGAATACCTGTGGTTGCTGACCTGTATGCAGCATCTCTTTTAAGCTGGAGGATTTCTCCTAGATGCTGTATGGCCTGGGAGCCAATCACGGTATGGGAAACTAGTCTCTTCATTTCACTTCTATCTCCTCTATCCACTCCCCATGAACTCCTCCTTTCCCCAAGGCAAGGCATGAGCAGACATATTTACTCTCAGAAAGGGAGATCCCCTAGAACAGAGCTCAGATCTCTCCAGTTTCCACTCCACTTTCTGAAACCTGCTCCATACGTGCCCCACTTTGGTGTGGGCATGTTGTAACCCAGACCACTCCCACCCCAATACACAAACCCACACACACTCCCTCCAGGGCTTATGTCATGTGACGGCTCCTCTCCATTGCTATATCTGTCTGTTCAGGAGATATCCCATTAGGCTGAGAGGGTTTTTTTGGTTTTTCTTTTTGTTTTGGGGTTTTTTTTTATCTCCAGTCCTTATCAGGGTGCTTGGTGCATGTTTAGATGCTTAATAAATTCTTGATGACTTTACTTACCCAAACTCCTGCTCCAAATCTAACCTTTCTATTATAACGTGTTGCCTTCCAAACTTAGAGCATATTTCACAAAGAATAAGATAGACTATTCAGGTATCAAGTGAAGACTCTAATTTTGGTTTGGAACTATGATTTCATCTATTTAGGGAATGACTGATATGGACATTCCCTCTGCTAATGCAATTACCTTGGAGAGTGGCTTGGGGCAATAAGAGGTTAAATGCCTTGCCCTTGGTCACAGAGCTGGTGTGTATGTCAGAGGCAGGACATTCTGAGCCCAAGGCTGGCCTCCCGGACACTGCATCATGGTGCCTCTTAGATCCTTTATCATTACATTTTAATGTGTTATCCTTAGCAGTATGCCTGCAACACTAGCCTACTAACCCTCTCAGTTTCAGGTTCAATGTTGGGACAAAATGAGGCACTTGCAAGCACTGAACATTTAACATTACACGTTTAAAAACATTTGCCCTACCATAGCAAGGACATGCAATATGTGATATGCAATAAGGACATGGTGACACTTGACTTCTCTGGACTTAGTACCCTTTGTCTCCTCTGGAAATGCTTCTGGTCAGTCAGTTACCAGGATGTGGTGACTCACAGGGCCTCAGGAACCCACTAATTCTGAGACATCCGACAACGAATGGCTGGGACCTTTTATGCCCCAAGACCAGGAAACTATATCAGGGAAGCCAGGTCAATCAGGATTTGTGGAGGAGAGGAAGCTTGATCAGGAAGTTGGGGAAGCTGCCTCAGGAAACTGCTAGTTCTATCACACTCACAAAGGAAAGACTGAGACCTAAAAGGAAACATGAATGGGCCAGAGCATGGGCAGGCAGGGGCATCAAGAGATGGACAAAACCAGAGCTGTCACTGGGAGATAAGGTGTTCTGGTCTTAGAGTCACCATAGAAGGAAGGAAGGTGGGAGAGGGGATCAGCAAGAATCTTAGGAGAGGCATACACAGTTGCACTGAGTTCTCCCCCCTCCCTCTAAGTCAGTGGATCACGGATGTATTCAGAGGAAGGTGGCTCTTTGAGCAGCCAAAGATCACGAGGTTTATGCGACTATTTTCCCCCAGGTGACTGTGGTGGGTTTCCCTTCTCTGCAATCACAGGTAGAGAGATGCTAGGTATAACCTAGAAGTACTAACCACAGATGCTGGGGTACTAACCCTTAGTACTGTCCTGCACCAAGCATGTGGTTGATTTGGCTTCAGTTCTATGCAGCCTGGCCTTTGGTAAGAGGAGGTTCCCTTTTTTTCACACGCATTGGCTGGCTAACAAATCCCTACCCTGAAGGTCCAAGAAAGTTAGATTATTTCTTACAAGTCTCAGTTTTCTCCAAAAGGAGAAAGTAACAAAGCACAATATGAATCAGGAATGGGACAAGTAGTTTATTCCTACTCACAAAAAAGGAATGCTAAGTATAGACAAATCATAATATGCTTTAACAATGGGATTAGAACAGACTTCAGTAGCTTATGCTTACATGCACAATAGGCTCAAAGGGTAATATTTAAACTGTATCAAAGCATAAAGCACTTTCTGTTTCTGTTCAGCCGTTTCAGTTGTGTCCAACTCTTTGTAAACCCATTTGGGGTTTCCTTGGCGGAGGCACTGAAATATTTCCTTCTCCAGCTTATTTTATGGATAAGAAATTGAGGCAGAGTTAAGTTACTTGCTGAGGGTGACGCAGTTAGTGTCTGTGGCCAGATTTGAATGCAGAAAGAAGGGTCTTCCTACTTCAGGCCCAGTAATCTATATACTGTGCCACCTAGCTGTCCTGTAAGGCAGTTCGCAATACATTAAGCGGGCACTTTACATTTCACCTCTGACATTGTCAGATCAAATGCCAACCTTGGATCAAGTATCTTTCTGGTGGCCTCTTCTCTGATGCAGAAATGGTCTCTTTTGACATCCAATTGCTCATTGGAACTCAGGAATTTCAGACCTTTCAAATCACAAGATCCCAGCCAGTCCTTAACAAATCCAGCAGAGGGGAACTTATAAGACAAAGTCAGGACAGAATAAACACACAAGAAGCAGAAGTGGCCAGGCAAATCACAGATACATGGGGTCTGGGTGGAAAACAGGATAAGCATGCCTTCCCCAAACCCGATTCTCCTAATGCAACATTAAAGAGACCTCAAACTTCAAGGCTAGAACAGAAGAGAGTCAGGGAGGTTAGTAGCTTGATTTTTGTACATTTGATGAGGCATCATCTGTTCTGGCTCAGCAGTCATCTACCATCTCAAATCTCTCAGTGATCAATCATCCTTGGTTGAATGCAGACAGGCTTCCATGTAGCTCTGCTCATGGTTACAGTGACAGAGCTTTCTCAGTAAGGTTGGTCGCTTAATAAATATGATTTCCATTAAAACAGGAACACTCTTTAAAATTACCAGCATAAAAATTGCCCCTATGAATTTCCAGTCTTGCCAAACTGATAGCTCTTTATAAAGAAACCCTGTAAGCCAAAAAGGACACGTGAGATGATGTTAAAGAGAAACAAGATGACCCTTCCCAGCTCTCTGGGGAAAGAGGGCTAGGACCATTTATTTCTGGCCCCTTAGCAGCCTTTGGGCCCTCTACATCCTCCCTAAATCCCTCCCCACATTCTAGACATGGATTCTAGATACGGGCTCTTATGCGCCACACTCTATTTGAATTAATCCAGACTTAGAAGGCTCCCAATCCTCCATACTTTAGGCAAGTCCATAGAATAGGACAGGGGGACACTGAGCTCAGAGCTACACAGGGACTAAGTCACACTTGGGGGGTCAAAACTATATAAAGACCAGGAGATTCGTATCAGTTTTGCAAAGAGAGTAGGGAAAAATTTAGGGTCAGGGAACACTTGGAAGGATGCCTATACATGGATTAGGGGGTTTGAAGGGGCCAGAACTATGCAGAGACTGAAACCCAATCAGAGTTCAGGGAAGTACATGGTAAGGGGTAAATAGGCTTGAAATGTTAAGAGTTAGGAGTGAATGGGGTAAATATAGACTAGGGCTACATGTAGCTAGAAGGGATCAGGACTACACAAAGACTAGTGGACCCTCAAGATCAAGGCTGCTTAGGGACTGTCCAGACAGAGCTTTGCTATTGTCCCACAATTTCATCATGTTGCTACCCTACTTATCCCCTTCTTACCTCTGCATTTATGTCTCATCCACAGGCCATAAAGGGTCACTTGAACTTCAAATGCACAAGTTACAATCAGGATCCCATTGATCTCACATAGCCCGGGAACTGACCTGAGAAGATATACTGAAAGAATCCCTTAGATGAAGCATTCTGGGAAGATGGTAGAGCAGATCAGAAATTTCCAGGCTCTCCAAATTTCCTCCACAGATAGCACATCACCACAAAATGAATGCAGAGCAACAAAAATAAAGGAGTAAAGCCGTTGTCTTCCAAAGACACTTAAGAGGACCTCAGGAAAGACAGGACCCCCAGAGGCTGAGGTTTGGCCTAAGTGCAGACACCTCCAGGCCAGCTCTGCTGAATCAACAAACAGCAGGCCCTGGGAGCAACTTCTTAGGGAAGCAGGATAGGCCTCAAGAAATTTCACCTCATGAACTTTCATCTAACAAACAGTTTGGGGATCAGATGGCTAAATGGAGGAAGACTGAAGAATCTTTGCTGTTTCTAGATGCCAGGCCCAGTTGTGCTGACCAGACATGATCCTAGGGTGAGACTGTGGGCAAGGAGGAGCAAGGACATGCCAATGAGTGCCAACCATAGGAAGCAAGAACATTTTGGGGATGTGACTGGGGGCCCCAACTTAAAGAAGAAAAGGAGTGCCTAAAGTTGATCCCCTGGACAGAATTCAGAAAATAACAGTAAGGAAGACCTCAAGCCTGGGTCACCATTACCCACAAGTCAGGATTAAAACCTGATTTCAATAGCAAGCTGCTGAAAATAAAATAAAATAAAATAAAAATGAGTAAGCAAATGAAAAACAATTCCACCATAGATAGTTACTGGGTTCATATTCAAAGGAAATCAATGAAGTTTAAAAAAAAAAAGCCACTCCTACCTCAAATGGTCACAAGCCCAAAAAGGGTATTTGGAAGAACTTTTAGAAAAATATCAAGAATCAAATATGAGAAATCAAGAAAAAAATAGAAAAAAAGTAAAAACATCCAAGAAAATTATGAAAAGAAAGTTAACCAAAAAAGGTCCAAAATCTTAAGGAAGAAAATGACTCCTTGAAAACCAGAATTGGGCAAGGGGAATCAAATGACATTATAAGACACCAAGAAATACTAAAACTAAAAATAAATAGAATTTGAAACATCTAATTAGGGGGGAAATGATCTAGAGAACAGATTGTGGAGAGATAATATAAGAATTGTAGGACTACCTGAAAGTTATGATCAGAAAAAGAATCTTGATACAATATTACAAGAAATTGCTAAATAAAATTGCCCTTAAGTTCTAGAAGAAGGTAAAGTAGAAATAGGGGGAATAAATCTACTGT